TATCTCTTCTTATTCTGGTACTTACAAACATCGGACCAAAATTATAATATCATTTCATGCTCATTTACAAATTGTATGCGTGCTTTTTTAATTAAAGTATTTAAAGAAAAGGCTCTATACTATACTTCTTAGAACCAGCTCAAAACTAACCACATTTGTTCTAGCCCGGAGGCGACTCTTTTTGATCTATCTAGGAACTGTTGTTATATAAACTGTCTAAGAACCATCTAAGCCAGAGTGATCTCAGAACAAGTTCGAAAGTTCTGCAGAGGGCAACAATTGTCACTTCGTAGGACATCGCCATGTTAAAAAACACAGTTGAAAGCATTGAGTTGGGATAGAACCAGGTAGAAGAAGCAGTACCGTCCCTTTTCAGGCTAGCTTAGCGCAAGTTCTGAACCAGTTTGGTTTGCTGTAGGGGAGATTCTTACTTTCAATACAGACATGTTAGTATGGGTGGATATGTATGCATGTGCAAACAACTAATTCTTTCTATACATATCTACATATATGTACATACATCCATATGTTCATAGGTATGTAAATATTATACAGATTTTCTATTAAATATGTACATGTATAATGATTTAAGCAGCAACAACAATGCGTTTCTAAAGTTTTTATTTTAAATGACTTGTGTTTATGAATTTTTTTATTAATTAGAATTCGCATACACATACCACATATATACGTAGAAGACATATGTAGGTATATGTATTTCAAAGTGGTGGCGACTTAAATTAGTACAACTGGTCTAAGTAGTCAAAATACGTATACGTAATTGTTAGAGAATTAAATAACAAGCACCAGATTGACCAAGCTTTGCCCGGAGTGCATATTCTTATTAGAGTTTTTAAGATTTGGATAGCTTTAAAAAAAATATTTTGGAAATAAAAAAATGGATTGCGATATCTTTTAAGTAAATTTCTTACTCCAAAAATTAGGTGGCAACCCTATTCCGAAATGCGCTGGAATGAATGGTACATATCGTGAGCGNTACTGTGTATACATAAAAATGCTGATTTAAATAAAAAAATATAAAAATTCTTATTACAAAGAAGCGAGGCAACCCTGATTTAAAATATTTTCTGACCAAAGTTCTCAGCAATACCTTTCATTTGATATCCATATTGCGATGTTTTAGATAACTTGTGTAGAATCGAAAATAAGTGGCAACCTTATACTAATATCCTAAGGGATTACGGTTTGTATATAGGGAAAGCATTGTTTAAGAACCTTCTCTTGGTACCCATAAATAGTAATATTTTACATGCCTTTCTAAACAAAAAATTAAATTAGTATGTGATTCAAAATAGTTGGCAACCCTATTAAAAATATTTTTGAATAAGGGATATTTAAAACAACTTTCATTTGATATTATGAGGATTTAATTAATTTGAAACTAATTTCGAATAGGTGGCAACCTTATACGAGTCTTCTCGGAGATAGTGCCTATTCAAATAACTTTAAAATCTAACACATTATTTGTGTACAAAATTTCATCAAAATCTTAGAGCCGTTCGTTTAATGTAATACGATAAAATCTACACATAATATAGATTTTTTCGAAGCGTAAATAATGCGGCATTTATATAGCCAACAACACCAAAGTTAAATCAATAAAATTTGGGTGCTCTGTAGTCGACTTCTATGACCATCACTGTACTATATTGCTAAGTACATTTGTACGCAGGGGCGCACCCACCAAAGAATTCTTTTTGAATATGAATCAAGATTCGAAAAATGTACATGTTTATAAATTATGTCGTTTCTATTCATTGTAATAAAAAGCAACTAATGAGGACTTCCTCGAATAATTATTGAATGCAAAATTCTGTCTAAACTAACAACATTATGTTAAAGAAATTTGAACTATTTTTAGCGTCTTTTGGAAATAAATTTCCACATTTGTTTTTATAGTTATCGATTTTTGATGTCACAAAGAATTCATGAATCTATTTAGAGTCGGATAGACTGAGATTCAAAAATCTAAGTTATAATTATCATAAGGAGTTAATTTTTGGCTAAAAATTCTCGAAAAAATGTACTAAGAAATATTTTACAAGAATGCTCCAATTCAAGTGAATAGTTAGTCAGAAAATAAACAAAACTATGAAATAAGTTTTTCATGACTCTATTCATCCTCTATCTTTTTGTTTAAAATAAAGAGCTAAAAGCTAACGTCATTTCAAGCGACCCAATTTTAATTCGAAAAGAGTTAAAAAGCACAGAAATAATATGTACATACATACAATGATAGAAATTCTACATTAAAATGAGAAAAAGTTTCAAATACCTGTAAGCATATAACCAATTATATACACATACTTATGTTCTAAGGAAGATACGCTTATCCAGTTGTTAGAGAGCTTACCGTGATACAATTGACCACATTACTTCAAACATTTTTACCGGGGCTGAAACCCCAAAGTCCCACTTGGATGCGCCTATGTTTGTACATATGTACATATGTATGTGGCTATGTTAGAATCCGTCAGAGCAAATTAGTTTAAAAACGCTCCGTATCTGAGCAGCAATTTTGTGCTATCAAACAAACACGTGGGCAAATATACATCGTTAGTATATTTAGTATGGAAAGGACGTACATACATATCTCACATCGTCGCTGAAATGCGAAAAATCCACAACTAACTAAAATTTTTTAATGCATAAAGCGATGTAGGGACTTTTAATTCGATGAAACGCATTCTAATCAATTAAAAAGTGCATTCTCGATTTTTTGTTAGTTACGGCTTTTTGTATTTCAGCGCGAGGTGAGTTACGCCCTTTCCATACTATACCTAACGACATACTATTTAATATACATACATATATATATTATGTACATACATACATAATAATATAATAAATTTTAATATATAGTGACTTTACAAAAATTTAAACACGAGTAGAAACCCTATTCACCTAATGTTTATAATAATATGAATCAATAACAAGTATTCAAATCGTTCAGCATTTTCGGAACGATTTTTGTGTTGTTGATAAGACAATCACAGCAACAAAGTTATACGTTGGCGAATTGACAAGCCCACATTTCGAAAACAAGCCGAAAACTTAGTTAGTCTGTTCCAATAGCAGTCCGGTTTACAGATTTAGTCAGAACTTACAGGAAGTCGTTCCTATTGACATAAAACCTGTAAGGCGCTGAGGTAGAGTTTTTCGCGGCGTTTTTTTTTTAACGTGGTTTCTCCAGTAGGTCCAATCCACGGGCAACGTTTTTTTTTGTTTAATGAAAGCAGGTGAAGGTGTGGAAATGAAGTTATACGGCGCATCCCGTACATCGCTATGTGTATCGCGTTCCCGGCCGTGATCGAAGCGTCGTGCAAAAAAAAAGTTGGCACAAAAGTTTTGCAGAATGAAATTCTCTAGTTCAAATTTAAGCAAAGTTTCAAGTACCGCTATATCCAAAGGTGGAAACAACCGGGTAAAACTGGGACCGCCATAGAATTTAGAAGGCTCCAATTAAGTAAGAGCAACTATCAGAACCTTTCTTGCCAT